AAATTTATTGAATTTCTTCATGAAGTTTATTTCAGTTTTAAGATGACGATTGTAGAAAACATGGCAGCACAAATTATTGTACCTTTACATTGTGATTATTGTGCCCATACATTATTTGACTAATTTTTAGATATTTGAAAATTTTTTATTCTTCAAAAACAAGAATGTGTCTAACAAAGCATTTTGTATTGACATTTTTATAAACTAAATATTTTCATTTTGATTAAGTAAACGTCTCTTCAATCCGAAAAAATTCTTCTGGTAGACTACCTCACAGCAAAAAAAAATAAATAAATATTTTCATTTGATTTTTAAAAATAATAATAAAAGATTTATTTGAAGCAGTAGTTTTTAAAATATATTAATCAGAACATAAATAAAAACTTCTGTTTTTATTTAATCTTGTGTGTGTGTGTCTGTAGTAGTTAATGTTGGACTAAGCTTATTTTAATTTGAACAGTTTTTTAAGCTAAGGTCTGCTACTTTTAGCTCTGAAATTGTATGATAAATTAAAAATATGAAATTTCACAAACAATACAGTGGAACCTCATTAATTCAGATTACTGGGAGAGAGACTGTTTTCCTGATTAACTGAAATAATGTGAAAAATAGCACAGAATGCATTAACATTTTTTAGCAAAAAAAAATTGCTATATTTTAATATGTAAAATGAATAAGTCTTCACTTAGTTGTTTCATTATAATATCATTGATATATTTGTAATCATTTACAATTAATAAACGAAAATGGAACGTATCTGTTCCATTTTTGTTTATTAGATCTGATGATGGCCTGTTAATCAGGTTGAAAACATTTACAATTATTATTGTTGAATTTTTTTATAAACAGTAAAATTTTAATTTTATGAGGAAAAAATAAATGCTGGAGGTTGCAAACATAATCAAATTAGAATATAAACAAGATATAATTCAGTTATCATCATTTAGCCTATAGTAACATTGGTTTCATTATATGTTGTTTTGCTTAATGTCACAGTTCCCAAAAACATATTGATAAGTGAGGACTTGCTGCACATCACACTCACTATTGAGTCAAGTCTAAAGCCTAGAGAATTTGTGTGTAGACATTTTCTATTGTGCGTATAGATTTATGAGAGATTGTATTTGCAAATCATCATTTTATATATAAATTAAGTGTTATAAATTCATTTAAAATAGAAGCATTTCTTTGTAAAAAGTTTAATACACAACAAAACTGGGCAGTTATATACAGAAAAAGCACTCTATCTTGTTTCATTTCTTTTTCTTTGTATTTATATAGTTACATATAAAATTTTCTAAGCTCAAATTAATACGAAAGATGTTGGGATAATTATTTAATTTGAAAAATATCTTGTTTTATATATCTGATAGTGAATTTTATAACAAAATGTCAATGTGCAAACTCATTAATATAACATTTAAGATAGTTGTGATGTGTGTGATGGACTTGTTTCTGTTCCATTTAATGCCTTTGAATGAATTTCCTTGGCTAACAATTTGCAAAGATGAATATCTACATATTGTGAATATGCAGATGTTCTCACTTTCAGTTTCCTCTACAGCTTTGTATGTGTTAGTGTTCTTTCATATCCTTCAGCTTCAATTTTAGCAAATTGCTGCTGTTGTCTTCTAATTTGTTTTCAGAATTTACCATTAACATTAAACTGTCTCTGCAATTTCTTCTGTTAAATTGCAAAAATTTGTATTTTCTGCAACTTCCAGCTATGTATCAACATCCTCCAATGTAACCTGTTATCCGTCTTGACATGTTGATCTATAAAAATATTTTTTACATTTGATTGTTTGGTTTCACATCGTTATTCAATAAAAATGGTAAATTCCTGGAAGAAAATGCTGAAGATTTTATCTCTTCTACAGTATGATGGATCTCAATGTGTATGAATGTAAACTCTGAAAAGTTTCTTTCTTCTGTCTTCATGGTTGGCTCTTTAATTACCAGAGCTTCATTTCTTCTTTTTAGTCTTAAATACAAATATAATATCTTGATCCATAGGTTGAATGATAGAAAAGGTATTTAGTGGCAACACATTCACTTAATCTGTCCATTATTGCAACAATTTCTTAGCAACTCGATGAGCTGGAACATTACAAGTAAGATTCTGGCCTTCATTTTTATATGCAGAGGTTCTTAAATGTTCTACTTAATATCTTTTGATTTCTGGCACTATTTTAATGAAACTAATTATCCATAATTCTGTAGTAAACCAAACAATTTTGATTTGTAATTGTGCATTGTCTTTGATCATTTGCAATTTACTTTTTCCCTACAATAATGGGTTTTAGTATTTGGCTTATATCTGCATTTCCACACAAAGTTGACATTCAGATTTTATAATTTTCCATCCAGGACTATTTTTCACCCCCAGACTTACATGCTTTGAGTATTCTTGGATAAAGCTTGCCCAATTCAAACCTGTATTATTGACATTGTACAGGTGGTTTAGCTGTATACTTTCCTACTCAAGATGTTAAAAAAAATTGAAAGAATTTATTAACAACTTCAGCATTAGCACACACTCTTTCCAGAAATTTTTGATATAGCATCTTTGAAATATGAATGCTAGTGTGAACATACTGAAAAATCATTTATTCCTAACCATCAGCTAGTCTTTGTGGCAACATGAATTTCAATTTATCTTCCAGTAATTCATAATTCACTCAAATGTAGTTGTACAAACTACTTGTATACAATTTCATTCAGTGTTTGTTCTTCAAGCATTCTCATTTACTTTGCTTCACTTCTTTTCTTTTTTCACATTAAGTTTTAATACAAATTTTAGAGTAAACTTTTTGGTTTTCTTATACTGATATATTTTATTCCATATTTCACACACACACACACTAACCACAGATATACACATTTTAAAATCTTTTTAATTGAAGGTAATTGTGTGTATGTAGAGAATGTTGTTTGTTGGCATTTTTATACAAAAGGCTTATTTATTATCAACATGTTACCATATTAAATGCTAATTTAACATTTAACCTAGCAAAATAATGAATTTTATGCTTGTGACAGAAAGAACAATCTTTTAGCCATAGCTATAACCAAAATTATTGTATCAAATATATTTCTGTAGCAACTGACTTTTGATGTATGGAACAATAGAGTTGTGATATCTGGTAGTTGATTTCTCTATCACATATTAAATATTACAAAGTCTTTATTTTATTTAAAAACAAATGCAAAACTTTATTAAATTTTTAACTTTGTCACTCTGCTCTAATGTTTGAGTAAAGATGAGTGCACACTTAGGTGGTGTGAGCAGAATTGCATTGGTGTAGATCCACTTGATTGCATTGCACAGACAGATTGAGCATAATTTAAACAAAAAATGAAAGTATTCAGACAAGGCATTTTTTTTCAGTATGAGTAACATTATGAAGAATTATTAGTACTGAGCTGCCTGTTACTGAAGGAGGATGCTATGTATTATATAGTTCTTTACCTGATGCAAAATTATAAAGTTGTCTACTACAGTAAGAGAAATGTGTACAAATGACACTATTCAAAAAATGGCAATTTTTGTTAATGAATGAAGTACCAGGAAGTTTCAGCAGATTGTCATGTGGTTTAGTGACCTTGTCTGTTCAAGGCAGACAGTAGAAATGTTTTCTTGAGAATGCAAGATGGATTTTTTGTTGTGCTACTCCTCCTCAGTTTGCCCACCTGTAGTGTTTGCAGGTCCATAATGTATAATGCATGCAGATTTCTTCCATTTGCTTTGCTCATTCTATTTGCCTTCAAAAGTATAAATTCAAATTCCAAATATAAGTTGAATACTAATAATGAAGTTGTGTGATTCAGTAATGATTTAATATTAAGATACTTTTTACAAAAAGATTTCTATTGATACTGATGAGAATGAATTCAAGAACTAAAGTTAACAGTATTTTCTATTATGGTTTGAAATAATTGTAAATTACTTTATAAAATACAATCAAAAAATATTGGACCTGTCCAAAATAACATAAAAACTCTAATTACAAAGATTTATATAAGGAAAATGTAGTAAAATAATGTATTCTGGCTAATTTCATTCTTCATCTATATCTTATATATGTATGTATGTATCGTATTTATGTTTTAATAACCAAAAAAAAAAAAAGCATTGTGAACTACTAAAATGAAATTATATAATAGTAGTAAAAGTTTTAATGTACTTGATCATTGTCATGATTCTAAATTTTGTGAAAAAGAAAATTTATTATGTAGTTTTAATTGTTTGAACTTTACTCAATAGGCACAGTTTATTAAAAGTTAATAACATTATTGCAATATTTTTGTCAATATAAAAAGATAAGAAAAAAATGCTTAATTCTGGAAACTAAACAAATTTTTATTCAGAAATTGTTTTTGTTCTCTTTCTAAGATGATCAGTTGTGAAAGATTATCAAGGGCATTAGAATACATTCAAAAGAGAACTTTTTCAAATATATTTGTTCTAACATACTTGAATAAGAACAAACAATTAATTATTCTGACATTGTCACAATGCCAAGCTGCACTTTTTGATCATATTTTTAATTTAAAATATATGCTCTCCACCTCAAATTAGTAGTGGCTTACCCCTTTTGCAATAGTCATGCCAGTCATATAACTCCTTTTAGGGGAAAATTTTTGAATTGAAACCATGTAACTTCCATTCTATACCAGAATTTCATATATTGTTAATTGAGGCCTCCTCCCCTAAGCTTTCCAGATCTGGTCTTGAATTTAAAATACCCAACACTGTTCTTGGGATTAAGGAAGGACAGACAGACAACAGTTGAAATTTATAGGTGTACAATTTTTTCAAATTGCAGTCTAGTGAAAATGTTTGAGTAAAAAATTAATTTGGTTTCCAGAACTAAGCATTTTTATCATGTTTTTGAATATGGTGCCAAATTTAGTTGTTATTTATGTTTTAATGTTATAGTAGTAATATTATTATTTAATATTTCTTTTTTGTAATATGTTAAGTTTTATTTGTTTAGAAAGATGATGTGGAAAATGCTCTCAGGAATAATAATATGAATATTGATGATGCATTGGGTAAGTGTAACTTTGAAATTTGTATTGAAATTGTGATCTATTTTTCCGAGTCATCAATTAATATAATCCAAAATCAAAATAAAACTGAATTTTTTGATCATAGTTTTAAGAAAGTGGTAGCTTTCAATATTAGAAATATCAACAACTTTTAATTTCAATTTTTTTTTTTTTACTACTAAAAGATGTTGCAAATGAATTTTGGTGTGTGTAAATTAGCTGAAAAGAGTAATAAAATATTAATGGGTAAGAAAATGTTGACGTATTGAATATGCATTTATATATATAAATATAAATCATGCATCATAAAATTAAAATAGAATCCAGAAAATGTTTAGATTCTTAAGTATTTATCTCATGCTGTAAAAGAAATTCAGAAGTAAATGAAATAAGTATTGGTTCTCATTGTCATTCTTTATATTAAATAAGTAAACGTTTAAAGTTAACATAATTACATACAGGTGGATGAAAAAATGTTACAATATAGAAAAAAAAAATATATCATTTGCAGTGAATTATTTAAACTCTTGCTTGATTTAAATTATCAAACAGATTAGTTATAGAATACTGATTATTTTTGCCTTTGTTTTATTTAAACTTACTAAATATATTTATTGGTAAAACTATAGATTTTTACCATTACTTTTTCTTTTTTGAAGAAAAAAATCATTGAATGCCTAAACTCTTTCCAGTGATAACTACTTATATCATTTGAAAAATATAAATAATTTGATCTGTAAATACAAAATTTAAACTTATTAGTAAAAGAATTAAACTGATGTTTACAGGAACAAATTTTAGTAAATTGTTAAAAAGATGATTGAATTTCTAAAAAGTTTTATAATTTTTCAGTTTATTAAATTGAGAAAATAATATATTAATTTTATAAATATAATTTTTATTTTTAGCTGAGCTGCAAACTCTTTCAACGAGAGAGAACAACACTTTAGATTTGGATAGTTTTGGAGGAAGTGGGCGATGTAAAATGCGTCCTAACATGCCTGAAGAGATCTGTCTTGATCATCCTTTAGTAGATGCCAATTTTGGTCCTGGAAATTTTCATGGGTCTGCAGGATTTCAAGGACAGCAAATACTTGCTCCTGCTTTTGGTGGTGCTCAGACTCTTAAACCACAAGTCAAAGTAATTATTTAATTTTTAAGTTAATTGTTTATACAAAATGTAATAATTGATTACAATAATAAATTATACAAATTTAATAATAAAGTTGTTTTGTTGTTATAGTAATTAAGATTAAAAATATCAAAATAGTTATTAATTATATAATTTAAAATTTTAGCAGGGCTCAGGATTAAACAGCAATACTCCTTCTAGTCTACTTAGCAATGCAGCTTTGGGTGGTCAAGCATCTAGTCTTAATATGGGAAACAGTATTAGTAGCCTGAGTCCTGCTTTAGTGCAAAAGATTCTTCAGCAACATCAACCACCAACATTTAATCCTGTAAGTTTATTTATTTAGTTTAATATTTACAGATAATAAGAATGTCAAAAAAATGAATATTGAAAAAGTGATATTTTTTTTATTAAATTGTTATAATGAGAATCATGGAATTGATATGCAAAAGTCTGACTCAGGCTCTTCAATTTTTAAATATTCTACTCCAATATTGATATCTATTAAAATAATAATGTCTTACAGTATTATTTATCAACATCATGTGAATCATCAGACTCTTTAGATTATAACATATAGTTTGTCTGTGATGAATATTAGTTATACATTAATGGTTTTTTTTTTAATTTCCCAATATTTATTGATTTTACAATGAAAATGTAAATTCAATATTGGTTGTAAGAGTACTATTAAAGAACAAGAAATTATGCACTTAAGAATAAGAGAAAATCATACATTATGAAACTGTTAGAATAGTATATTTCCTTCATTAAGATTGGAATTAGTACACTTTTTATTAACTTTACTATAATCAGGACTGTGGAATCCATCACAGATATTACAGTATTTCTATTACATTTTTAATGATATTTGCAGTTGATGAAATATGAATATAAATTGTTAACTAGTTATTGAGCCACTTACAATTATCATTTTGTATAAGGTGTCCCAGCAAAAAGTTGATTTAATCCTCAATATGTCCTGAACAAATGAAGTTAAACAATATCACTTTCTTTATAAATTGATGCTCTGTTTGTTAGGGTTTAATCCATAGACTTATTTATTTTAGATGTTAGTATGTGAAGTGTTTAATGTCTGCTTTGCAAATCACCACTTTGTGTAATTGCATGCAGAAATTCCTGATGACATGATCACATTTCTGATATAAGTTTGCAAAACTAGAATTACATGGACTCTCAGGTGTTGATGACTTGTTATATGTTATCTTTTATAGTGCCGTACAAAAATAATTGCAAGGATGTCTGGAGACGTTGGTGGCCAGGCATAACCAACATTAAATTTTTTCTGGATAGCAATAAGAAATCACTATCTTTGAATAGTATTAAGAAAATATAAACTTTTGCTGTGTAATGTGTTGCTCCATTCGGCATTAATGATGCTTCCTTAATTTTTAGAACATTTGTCAAAGCTATACTGGTTATTCTGTTTGAATATTGTTTATCTGATAGTCTTGAATAAAGCAGGTAATAGTGCTGTTTTAACATAAAAAGTTCATATTATTCTGTTCATACATCAAGTTTAAAAAAGTAGTTACATAAGGAAAATTGTTTTAATCAAAAATTAATAAAAATCCTTAAATAAATGACATAAAAAGAGAAGTCAAATCAAACTAATTTACTTAGTTGTTTGTTCTTGTTTTCTTTAAAAAAAATAGCCAAAATAACAATTCCAAAATAATACAACCACAATTTTACAGACATTAAAGCCAATGTTAATATTCTTATTCAAAGTAGAATAAGATCATCAGGAGTGTGTATTCAGAAATTTTTATTGAATGCCTCCAAAAAAATCTGGTGAGAACACTGGATGTACTGTATGTATGAAGTTGTAAAAATTTTACCACTATATTCTGTTTAATTTCTGAGATTTATTTTTATGCAAAACTGCATTTGTAGGAATCATTAATAGAAACATTTCTAAGATTGAAATTTAAAATGTAAAATTTTTTACTTTAATTAGAGATTAGTACTTTATACACACACATTTATATAATGCAACTTGGAAATCAATTTAGTGAAAGGAGCCAAATAATTCATTGACATATTTGTAATATTAGTTTCATTTTCCATTTTTTCTGATTTCTTCATAATTATTTTTTCTCGTATTAAAAGTTTTAATTGGTTAATTAATGTTTCAGAGCATGCCACAGAATGCCATAGGTGGTCAAGCAGGTCGAGTAGGTCAGCAAAATTTTCCTTCAGCTGCTCAATTAAGAACCATGTTTCAACAGATACAGATGGCAGTTCAAGCAGGTCATTTAAATCCCCAGGTATTTATATTTAATGTATTTATAAAATATAATTCTGTTAAGTATTTTCAATCTGTTTTAAGAACAAAAGTTCTGTTTGGTATTAGCTGCTAAGTATTAGAGAGGATGCAGCCGACGTTTTCAATGCGAAAACGTGTACATTGGAGTTTCAGCACTGCTTTCCTGTAAGCCTAGAAGTTTGACAATGGCATTTGGAACATCAGTGGAATCATGCTTGATGTTCCAAATGTGATTGTCAAACTTCTAGGCATACAAGAAGGCGGCGCTGAACGTCCAACGTACAACTTTTCGTGATGAAAACGTTGACCACAACCTCTATTATTTATAATAATTTTAAGTTAAATAGTCAAATCTGTATTACTTTTGAATAAAACTTTATGTTTTATTTTAGTTTCCTAATATCAAATTTTTAGCAACAGTTTAAGAAAATAAAAAACTTAAAAGCTAATAATTTTTAAACTGTTTAATCAAGTTTAAAACTGTAATATATTAAATCTGTAATATATTAAATCAAAAATAGATTGCTATTAAAATACAGCTCAGATTTAACTGATTTATTTAACTTCGTTATATCATTTCTTTACCTTTTGTATAAGTATGGCAAATAATTGTTAAAAGTACCTTAATATTAGTTTCTGTTTGAAGTTAACTTATCTTTTAATGTTAATTATTCTAAAAACTGTCAAAGAATGAACTTTTTTAATTTAATCAAATAGATTTTTATAATTTGGCTGTAATTTTTATTTTAGATTTTAAATCATCCACTTGCTCCACAAACATTACAATTACTATTTCAATTGTTACAACAAATTAAAACACTTCATCAGTTGCAGCAGCAGCAACAATTTGTGCAATCACAACATATGGGAAAAACAGGTGGTGGAGGACCAGGAAATCCACTTCAGTTAAATGTGCAAATTACACAAACAAAACAACGAATAGTTAATTTACAAAATCAGATTGCTGCTCAACAAGCCATGTTCCTGAAACAGCAGGTAATATTTTAAAATATGTTTAAAAGCTATTAAATTACATATTGCATTATTATAAAAACTTATCTGATTATAAGACAATTAATATATCACCTGAAATTAATATATTAAGTTTATAAATTAATGTAGTTCTTATTATTAATTGAATACTACATGATATGACAAATCATTAAATTTTTTTCTACATGTTACATATTAGTACACTGATAAAATTGACTTTTTTATAATGACAGTGTCAGCTGGAATTAAACAACAATAATTTTTTAATAATTTTAATACTTAATATATTCCAGTTTTTGCATTTTAAGATCTATGATTATGATTTGCAGTATTCTAAAGTTTTTTTCATTTTATTGAAATTGTTACTTATTAAACCATAAGGAACTTTTTTACTTTCTATCTTAATTTTTCTTATTACAATAAAATATCAGATATTAACAAAACTATTACTTTGTTAATTTAAATAAAATATATTAATATTTCATCTAAAATAAATGAAACTTTGAAGAAGCTAACTTAAACACAAATTATTATTATTTACAATTCATGTCTTTGCCAGTTAATATGTTATCATCAGGTAAGTTTTGTTAATTTATCATTGCTTCATAAGCTATAATTTGTTTCTTGACTACTTGCAAGTATTAATTTATGATTTGGTTAAAGTACGTGAATCATAATAATAATTATGTAGCACCAATTGCTTTTTATAGATATTTCAAAGTAGTATTCTGTTCCATGCTTTATAAATTTATGCCTAAGTATATATTAATTGATAATTTTATTTACATTAAACACAAACCTGTATTTCCTTTTTAATTCATAATTATTTTGTAATTCAAACCTGTATGCATTTTTAGTTCTTAATTATTCATAGATTACTAATATAAATTATTTCTCCAGGAAATTTTTATAATTATAGGAAAAAATATTTATGGATTATATTAGGTTAGTTCACCAAAAACATACTTGTTAAATCAAAGTTGTTATAATTATTGTATTGATACCTTTATCTATGTCAAATTGTTTTCTCATTTATTTTCAAATAAAGTCAGTCCCCAATTTAACCATTGTGATAGCTGAAAATAATGCATAAAAAATAATTTCTGATTCCAAACGGCCAGTCATACTTGATGTAACAACTTAATAGTTAAATGTTAAACATGTTTTAATGGGCAATAAACACATAATATAAATAACAATAACTGATAAATTTATCCATGTTTACCTATAATTCTGGTTCGTATCATTAGCTTAATTAAGCAAAAATGAAACTTTCTGTAAAGTTGTTTGGTGTGGAATATTATTCTAATTTCAATTTTATTAATAATAAAGCAACCTAATAATTAAATAAATAAAAATTAACACTTAAGTAAATCAATTTTACTCAGATTGCAATACTCTCTTGGTATGTTTTGACTTGAATCATTTCTAATCAAATGCTATAAATAAATTTAATATTAAATGTTGATTTGAAGTTCAATATATCTAAATAGAATTGCAGTATTGTGTTACAGTACATATGCGAAGTAACTGCTTACAGTGTCTCTATGTGGTGTTTATATATGCTTAAGCATGGTCTTCAGAAACCATATTGCATTATCATCAATATTTTTTATTTCACTGTAAACCAATTTACAACAAACTTACTATGTGAGTCCTGAAACAGAACTGTCATAAGTCAGATTCTGTCTCTCTGCTGAATTTTTAAAGTCTGTTTTTCTATTTGCATTCTATGTTCTAATTCAATGTAAGATGATTTAGGAAAATAATGCTAAATGTGAAGGCAGTTATTTTATGATTAATTATACAAATTTAAAAATTGGAAAACTATTGGTTTCTATTTCTTAATTTTAGTTATCAAATATTAAATAAATTTTCTATAATCATTAAAAATTTTAAGTATTTGTATATATTAAAATATTTTACATTAAATCTCATTCTCTTTCACACCCAAAATTTTGTTCTGAATTACATTATCAAAATATTTTATGAAATTTAACCTATGAAAAAGTCAGTTTTCAAAAAATATTGTTATCGTTACTTCTCAGTTCATTAGTTTATACAGAATGACTTTTTTTTTTTTATTTTCATTTGGAGTTAATGCTGATAGATATTAGTAAAAGTTTTTAATTTTTATTCAGTTGTGGTTATTTGGTTTGATTGGTTTTATTTTTTGAAAAACAATCAAAACAATATTCTAACAGTGCATTAAACAAACAAAGGTTTCAAAAGTGCTAGACTGGACTTTTGCGCAGATAATAAAATAAATGAAAATTGCTACTAATGTCAAAACCTGAAATAATTATTACGCATAATGCAAAAAAATCTATTTATCAGTAAAAGCCAGAAAATGTACAATCAAAGAAATAATGTTAGAGAAGAACTTGCAAATAAAGATTAATTTATCAAAAAATCAAAACAAATATATACAAAACTTACCCAACAATTGGGGAGTAAGAGTTATAAGATAGTTGTAGCTTAATATCTTCACAAAAACTGACAAGAAAAATATGAAAAAATATTGAAAAAGCACAATGAATTTTACTAATTCATCTAGCCATCACCAAGAAACTGTCATCACTGGAACTGGAAAGCTTTTCACCAATCTTTTTCAATCCTTAGCACCACCTCAGTCGATTCTTCAATTCATCTCCTTATAGTGTGGTTGGGATGACATTACAAGCCTATGCCCACTCAACCCTATTTACATACGTAATCGTTAACATCTCATTCTTTCTAGTAATTGGTTTTGTTAATTCATGTAATCTCCCTTACAAGTAATTCCATAATTGTTTTATGGCATTTTCAATGACAATTTGGGGTGGGAGATCATTCTTTAAATTCATGTGGAAGTCTCCCTCATGATGTAATTTCTGGAAAGTGTCTTTGCAACCAAAAATTATTCAAATTAAGATTTGGAGAATTTGGTAGCTAGGTAGTAGGAAATGCAGAACTAATCACTCTTATCAGTAAAATATTGTCATAGAAACTGCTGCATGCAATATCTGATATGTGGAGGCATTCCATCTTACGTGAAATAGGTTGACTCAAAGAATTGCTGGTGTTGTAGTTGTAGCTATGATTCCATACCAGTTTGTAACTGTAGGTAGGTTCAGTGGAATTGCTAGAAAACCTCTGGGCTGTGTGGAACTGTGAGGCTCTGGACAGGTCCTAACCTAACTGAAATTCACATTGAAATCGTTTATTTTTAAGGACAAAATTATCTTCTATTTTTTCTCAAAAAAAAAAAAAAAAGTATAGAAGTTAGAAATTGTTTTTCTTAATGAAAATGACGTGAACTTTTAAACAATAGAACAATGGAAAAACGAAGATCGACTATCTCCGGATGGGAATCAAATTAAACTTCGATTATGACCTCTCCAGCACTTCCGAAAGGTTTCGAATTGTCACCAGGTGACTAGGATAGACCATCAGAAAGTGGAATTGGAGGAAAACGGATAAAACCTGAGAATTCAAGGATGTGATGGCTTCTTCTCCCAAAAGTTCCAAGTGGCAGATCTATTGTTGTGTGTGTGTCTTGTGCCCATCTTTGTCTCCATCTCCCAACCTCGGATTGACATCTTACCATCAACAGAAGTTGATCCATTGTCCTGGAGTTGTCGAGACATTGATGGAATTAGTCATTCGCGAACCAGGGACACTCCTCCTTAATGGGACTATCTTGGAAAGGAGAGGAAGACCCAGAGACTGCTACTGACGTAGAACTTCCAAGATTGCGGAAATCTTCTAAGCTTCTATCATGTCAAATAAATGGTTTCTTGTAATCATAGTCTGTCTCAATGCCGATCGCCCACTTACGATCCTTTGCGACCGCTCAACTGTTCTGACATTTTTGCACCCTGTCGGCAACCTTACAAAACATTCATAACTGTCAGGTGTTCCCCTCAGAAAATGTGAGTTATGGATGCTCCACATGACCCAGATGCTTTCATACCACAAGATTTTCCATGGCAATGACACATTCATTTCCATTTTGACAAGGAAAGTCAGTCAAGTTCTTTTGTCAATGGCAAGCAACTGCTGATTTTGTTTTGGCTGATATATGTATATAACAATACATAAACTTTCTCAGTACCTTCTACATTGCTGTAAGATATACCAATGGTGTGACACTTCACTTGCACTACTGGTGTCTGCAACATTATTCATTTACTATAGTAACATTTTCACCAGATGTACAGTACTGTTCCTCAAATCAAGTGATCATTCTCTTTGAGACCTTGTGGAGTTAATAGTCCTCAGTGTCAAGAATTTTACCATTGTAAAAATTTAAGTGCAGTCACAGAATTTCCATTGTTTTCATAAAAACTTCATAAATTTTTTTATTTTTTTGTGGCTATTATAGCTGATATGAATGATATTAACATTTTTGGTCATTTTACTTTCCTGATTGAAATTTTACAGGGAGGTTTGTGTAACGGGTATTGATGATGATAAATTTTGGTAGTAAAAGTTGGGATGGGGAGATAGATAGGGTCAGACTTAATGAAGATTTTACTCATTATTGGCATTTACAATTTTTTATAAAACTCAATTTTTACTCTCAGAATTAAGCTTTTTGCCAATTTATAATAGCTAATAGGAGATTTTATTTAGAAAACACTATATTAACAGATAGCCACACACAATTTAGCTTTTTTGCCAGGAAAGTTATGCAATGCATTGCTGGATTTTTATACCTAGAACTTTAACGTAAAGTAAATTGCTTTTTCGTTGGTTGCAATGCCAAAAGGATCATAGTGGCAAGTTTTTTTTACAGAAATGTCTTGTCTTTTGCATGTCTTGAAGTGTCACCATACTTGATAGTCCTGGTCTAATTTTTCTTTAAATAGCATTGAAAAGGGGGTATTTTAATAACAGTCATGCAATTTGTTTATCTGAAAATGTATAAACAGTAATCTGTGAAATTATTTAACAAATTATATTTTCTAATTAGCTTGTCTCTGAAAAATAATAGGGTGAATTATGAGGGGCACTGAAAA